CCCAGCCCTAGTATCTACACTTTAGAATGAATGCAGTTTTACATACTTCCACTGCTATGGCTCATTGGTATGAATATCTTGGATTTGATAGTTTTGCAAGGTTTTATCCTTCTTTGACAAAGAGTGCTGGTGTCCCAGCAAATTATAAATCCCAGGATTCCATAGTACTGAATCATAGCAGTTAAAGTGGTATCAAACTACATTCATTCCACAGTTTAGATCAGGTGTCTTCAAACTCTGGCCCGGGGGCCGGATGCGGCCCTCCAAGGTCATTTATCCGGCCCTCGTTCAGGGTCAACCTAAGTCTGAAACTACTTGAAAGCACACAACAACAACAACAACAATCCTATCTCATCAGTCAAAAGTACGCCCACACTTCCCATTGAAATACTAATAAATTTATATTTGTTAAAATTGTTCTTCATTTTAATTATTGCATTGTTTTTATGTGTCTTTTTCACTACAAATAAGATATGTGCAGTGTGCACAGGAATTCATACATATTTTTTTCAAATTATAATCTGGCCCTCCAACAGTTTGAGGGACTGTGACCTGGCCCTCTGTTTAAAAAGTTTGAGGACCCCTGGTTTAGATGAACCCATTGTCTCATTGCCAGCACTGAAATAATACCCAACTGCCAATCCAGCTAAAATAATGAGAGGAAGTAATGAGAGGCCAAATAGTGATGCAAAAATAACGCAAGAAAACCAGCACCAATAAGAACCAATTGACTAATAACTATAAAATCATTAATCAATTTATAATTACTGTACTTATAATCTAATATACTAACAATAAAATAAAATGTTTACTGGCCCCAATATGTAAATCATAAACTGATAATACAAGAAAACATCCAGTAACTGGCATCTATTTTGTGAAATAAATGTAGTGAATTAGTCTTTATATGGGTCTGCATCTCAGTAAATGATTTCTTTTAATATTAGTTTATTAAACTGTAAGTAATTATAGATTGGTGCCTGATTCAATAGTTATTAGCACATTGGTACTTATTGGTATACAAGTCTGATTTTCTTGGGTTCTTTTTGCACTTATATTTAGAGATTAAAATTGTAAACACTCCTAAGCAGTTTCTCACACTTGCTTTAGACAAAGAATCTGTTGGAAAGGACTTAGACCCCTTCCACATTACCCGTATGTTCCAGGTTCTGAACCCAGATTATTTTTTTATCCCAGATTATCTGGCAGTGGAGACTCATATAATCCAGTTTAAGGCAGATAATCTGAGATCCGATCCTGGGATATAGGGGCAGTGTGGAAGGGGCCTTAGAAGGACCCTTTCTCTTGT